GTACATGCGAGAGAACCTTCAAAATAATGAGTGTATAATATTTAACCTTAACACAAGTGATGAAAATAATATCTGTCTCGAGCATCGTCTTATTTATTCTGGCTGAAAAACGTGAAATTTTAGTTTTGTCGACGAAAAACAGGGTAAAAAGAGTAGTTTGTGTTTCAAAACTTTCCACCTGTGAAATACCGATCTCTACTGACCCGGTTGACTTTTTCAACCGGTTCAATTCCGGCTCTGATGTCGACAATTATCTTATATGGGTATATTTTTGAAAAGCTTGTTTATAGCTTATTTTGAAGATCAGAGAATTCTCTATGTTACTATGTATGAACTTTGACCAAGGACTCTGAAATCAGACAAGAAATTCTGAATTATATTATCGTGTACTTGAATCCAGAAATGCTCTTTTAAATGTCTCGATCGTTGGCCACTGTGAGTGAGGGTGCACAGAAGAGAGAGGGAAAACATGATGCTAATCCGTTTGTATAAAAAAGCTATGTAAGCTAGACTAAACACCCTTGTCACACATTTTTTGAGAATATTGCCGGTTACTGGCGGGTCAACGAAATACCGCAGATTGGACCGAACCGTTTGGTTTTTACCCTGAGGTTTAGCGACGTTTCCTTCTACCGCGGTTACCGCACGGTAGTTTTCAGATCGCGATACAAGAAAAAATCGTCGGTAAACCGTTTTGATACAATTGCCTTTTTGTTTTGCGGTTGTCAGTCTATATAAGAAATGCAGAAAAGTCAAACAACTTTGTTTTTTTTCAAATTAAACTTTCTCTTTCAGATTATAGAGACTCGTCGAAGTTTGCACTTTGACTAAAAAAACGAAGGCTAAGAACTAGATTCGAAGTCCTGTACTATTTGCTCACACTGATAAAATACCGGTTGATACCGCCGGTACAACCGACCGGTATACAGCGCGGTTCGGTAGACCGTTCGGTAATTTCACATGGCCGTTAGGTTAACCTCCCAATGTACTCGGCGGTGACCGTTGTGGTAACTGGCAGTATTTTAGCGGTTCTGATGATATGGGCATCCTTTCCAGTAACCAGCAGAAAAGTCTAGAAGCTTTGCGAATCGTCCGCGGCACACAGCACTGAGGCAGCTTTTCGTTATACTGTTTTCTTTATCCTCTAATAAGAAGTAATTCTCATTAGTGTGCTATACTTTACTACAGTACAATATAAAATCAAGTTTCTAAAGTGAGCTACAGGTACTTTGTCTAAAAAAACATGTGTTACTTAATTGTGATGTCGTTTCTGTTTGCGTAAAGGTTAACCTAAGATTTCTAAAAAGAATGATAAAAAACTAAATTTTTAAACGGAAAAGAATTTCTCATGTCCTGATCAATACAGCCACATTACCGCGAAGACTTGTTTATTGGAAAAGACGAATAAATAAGGCAGGAAATTATTAAGTTACACAAAACTTTGGCCAATTGACGAAAATCACACAAAATTTTGGTCAGTGACGAAAATACTAGGTGCCGAAAGTCACAGTTGACCAGTTTCGGGTAACTCAGTTATCGCACACAGTTCTAACTTGTCGGAAACTGTGTCTCTTAATTCATTCAAAGAGTCAGTAACATTAACGCCAATTTCATCATTTTCCACAGTTTGTATAATTATCTGATTCATTATATGAATGTTTTTTTCTCCATGTATTGTGTCTTTGTTCAGATCAAAATTATCTGCTACTTTAATTGCAAAATTGTGTTGTTGTTGGGCTACTTTTAGTGAACACGATGATGATGATACTTTTGCAGCTGACTGTTTGTGTAATCTAATAATTGAACGATAAGAGCATGTGTGGCTAAACCGATTCATGATGTTATCAATTGTTTAGATCATTCGTGTTTGGTAATTTCATTCCCCAGTAGATAATGTTTTGGCGTTATATAACTATGATCTTTACAAAACATAGGGTCATTGGCAACGGAGGAAATTTTAAGCCATTTTTTAGAAGAAATAAATAAATCTTTATCCAATACATTAAAGTAAATATAATGACGCTTGATTCCTTCAAATTCTCTCTTGCCAGCTGTTAGGAACCCAATAAAATTCTTCACTATCAGTGGAACACAGTCCCAATACAAGACAGATGTGAATTTAGCTAGTAGTTCATGTTGTTCTTTCAATCTTTTCAGATGATGACTGTTTTCGTCAATCGACTGTCGCAATAATTTGATTACATCAAATAATTCTTTACATTTATTTTTTTGCTCATATGTATCCATTTCATGATTAATACTATTTGTTTCATTCTTATCATGGTTACTGTGTAAATCTCGGCAAGACAGCAATGATAACTTCGTATATGCTGATAAACTATTCAACGCTAGATACACCCCATTCCGCTTGTTAATTTTCGAAAAGTGTAATTTATCGGCAAATTTTGTTTCTAATCTTGATCTAATTGCACATGTTTTAACGATCGAATCGGTTGTTTGTCCGCTTCGACGTTTTAAGATGGTCGTATACTGTTCTTTGACTTCGATCATCGATACCAGCGCTCCGGTTCTTAACACATGTAATACTTATTAACTACATGAAAAACTCAAAAACAATTGCATTGGATAGAGAATCATCGATAGCCTAGAAAAATAGTGTTTAGACGGTTTCATCTGTCGATAATTTCAAATTTCAAAATGTCAGTTAAAAATCCCTATACGCACATGCAAGAAGCAAAGGAATCAACTAAATTCAAAAGTGTCCGTACAAATGCGGTTGAATCAGATAGATTCAGATGGAAAAAATCAGAAACCGATTACACTGAGCACACATTTCCGGAAAACACGTAGCAAAAAAAGAAAGCTAATTTTCGCGGTCATGGAAAAGCCAAAACAGAAGTTTTTCCTACGAATGGATAGAGCGAATGGCCTAGTTTTAGACTATGTAAACCTTTAATAAATATCGTCTATTGTTTGTCGCAAAATGATTTTCTATCTTAACCGCTCTGTTTTCCTAAAACAATTTCATCGTCGATTTTCCCGCTAGAAATGACACCTAGAAAAAACTTGCAATTTCAAAGTTATAGAGCGTATGCCAAAGTATATGATTTGCTATTCAAATCTCGAAAAATCTCATGCTCGTTTTTCCACCTAAATATGACGTGATTGCCCATTGTGTGACAGCTCTACCCTTTGTGAAACAACTTCTCTACGTTCAGTTGCTTCATGTTCACTATTACACATCAAATCATTGCTCAAGTTATCCTTTAAATTTCTTTGAAAAGTGATGGACGATTCCGTTTTAGGTTTTGGCGTTGAACATGAATAATGTTGAAATATTGGTGGAGATATGTCTATACAATCGAACAACGGTGTACTTGATTGAGCATTAATACTTGGTGTTCTACAGAATGACAATGATGGCCGGCTATTTCAAGGCAGTTTGCAACATTTTCTGTAACATTCTAAATGCACTTCTTTACGTAATAACGATTCATTTAGTTCAGAGTTGTTCAAATAAATATAATCGCACTTGAGTTTCTTATCTATAGCTTCACTTTTAACTATGATATACTCTGATTTTGATATAACATCGATTTTATCGAGTCCATTTTATCGGGTCCAAAAATCTGAGTCCAGTCCATACGAAGCTCTGTTGTGTACTTGAAGAAGAAAAGTAATACGTATAACTACTATCGGCGCCAAAATACAAGACTGATGGTTATTTTTCGATACAGTCCAAAGGAATAAAAGATAGAGGCTTGCGGTTTTCATCATTCGCTAGACAGGATCTGTTTTTAAGCTTTTCAAGCTCTGTTTTCAAGTGCTAAAACGAATTTGGGAAAAATTTCGAAGACCGGTTTTTTAGGAAATCTGTGGAAAACCAGATCGGTTCTTTGGAAACTGACGTAGAAATCTATGTTTATTTTTTCATACATATATAGTCCGAAGTGTCCTCTACAAAACTGAATCTGAGGAACATCTTGACAATCCATGGTTCGGGAGCTATGGACATTTTTCTTGGAGCCTTAGCACTCCACTGTCGCCGGGTTTGGGATTATCAGAAATGGATGAAACATCGGTTATCGACTTTAATTTATGCAATGCACGACTAAACGGTAATAAAATCAAACTTTTATTTGTACAGAAAACGTATAAAAAGAGAAATAAACAAAAATAAAATGTTTATCTTCTATTGTGCACGCATCTGCGTTTTTTTTGCGCTTTTTCAATGTCTCTTCTTTTACTTTCGTAACGTTCTTCTGTTTTTGAAAATAAATCAATTCGTTTTCCAATATGTGTGACATAATTTGAATTTAATGGCATTGATAACAATACTTGATCAACCGAATAACTATATACAAATGTTATTACGGCTGACAATGACGTGTAATTATGCTCAATTGATTTGTTTCGTCCAAATTGAGTAAATATACGTCGAATTTGGTCTTCAGTAACATCATCAGTTTATAATGATAATCAAATTTATTATCCAGCCACTGCTTCTATCTAAGCATTCTCCCTTCAAATTGTATTGGATTATTACAATGAACACACATCACTTCATCAACGCTCTCTCTCGTCTGATATGTCAAAAATGCCATGCCACTTGATTGTTGTTGATGTTTCCCAAGCAAAAACGACCCAATTTTTTGGGTTATTTATCTAGATTCAGCTCCACGTACATCTAGATGCACGTGGACCTGAATCTAGATAAATAACCCAAAAAAATGGGTCGTCTTTGCTTGGGTTGTCGACAGTCATTAATCTTACTTTCAAATAGCCATATCTTCTGAATATGCGACGAATCTGAGAGACGGTTGCGTACCATGGTAGATTACAAACAAACAAACCGCATTTTCTAATAGAGTGACTCTGAAAGACAAGTGTCTATGATAGCGACAACCTTGTGATTTGTTTGACTTACTTGTTCAAAATCGGAGAATTTTCTTCAGCTGCTTTGATTCCTTCACTCTTTTCATTATTTGCTCAAAAAAGAGAGATAGAAAACTGCAAGGCGTGGGAAACTTTGATTCCAGAGGATTTTAGCTTACAACTACTCAGAAATGCTGGGCTATTGAATAGACTACCACTTAATCGCTCATCATCCGATAAATGTTTTCATAAACAAAAAATTATTGGAAAATTTTGGATGAAATTTTAAAATACTAAGCATTTTACTTTGCATACCCAGGTCCAAGAAAACGGCACCGTTAACGGCCCGTTAACTGGTCGTTAACGGTAAGTTAACGTGCCGTAAACGGACCGTTTTCAGAACCTAAAACTCGTAACGTTTTAGGATCTTAAATAA